CACTTTGCCGAAAAAAGTGCATATAGTCAAAGCTATCGTTTTTCTGGTAGTCATGTAGGGATGTGAGTTTATCCGGTAGTCTTGAAGGATGTGAAACAAGGCTGAGCACTGAAGAATTGATGCTTTTGAACTGTGGGGCTGGAGAAGACTCTTCAGAGTCCCTTGGATGGCAAGGAGATCATACCAGTCAATCCTAACAGAAATCAACCCTGAATATTTATTGGAAGGACTGACGCTGAAGCTGAAGCTCCAATGCTTTGGCCACTTGATGCAAAGAGCTTACTCATTGGAAACGACCCTGATGCTGGGAAAAACTGAAGGCAAAAGGAAAAGGCGGCAACTGAGGATGAGATGATTAGATAGCATTGCCGACTCAATGGACATGAATTTGAACAAACCCTGGGAGACAGTGGTGGTCAGAGGAAACTGGCATGCCACAGTCCACAGGGTCACAAAGAGTTGGACATGACTTAGCGACTGAACCACAACAACTCTAGTATGACCTCATCTTAACTAATGAGATCTCCCACGACCCTATTTCTAAACAAGGAAGTGATTCAACCTGTTACACATGGAGGCCAGGAGAGGCTGCTTATCCCCTTTATCCTCTGGGGGTGGGGGGCTAGCATCCCTTGTTCTTTCACTCATTCCCTCCCTGGGGGTTTGCCAATGAGCCAGGCACAGTGCAGGGCAGAACCAGACGTGGATGATTGTTACTTCTGTTTATCACCCCCGCTTTCAGGGGGCAGGACTGGGCCTTACTTGCCCACACTGTATTTTCAGCATCTGGCACAGAGGAGATGCCTAATAAACATCTGCCCTCTGTCCACAGTCTCAGGGACACAACCGCCTGAGCCCTCAGGAGAATGTGCTGAGTGAGGACTCACTGGGAACCTCAGCTCCCTGCTCTGCCCATCCAGCCCCTTCGGATTAGGGGTTCTTGTTTTTCCTATGGCCCCAGCTCATCGGTCAGTTGAGGTGTGAGAACCACTCTCTCCTGGTGCTGATGAGATGAATGGGGTGCCTACCACACAGCGCAACCTTCAGACCACACATGTCCATTCTCCTGGCTGGAGAAGAGTAACAAAAGTGAAAAACAGTCTTGTCTGTCCTTCGGCCCCTGGTTCCCATTCACCAAGACCCTCAGAAAGTCACATCCTTGTGTGTGAACTCTCGGGATGGAGGGAGGGAGGGAGGGATGAATGGATGGAGAAATGGAAGGATGGGTGGGTGGATAGAGAGCTGAACGGAGGGATGGATGGATGAATGGAGGGAGGGAGTCAGTGAACTCAGCCAGACTCCTCTGCAGGAGCCTTGCTCTCTTTCACTTCTTCCGTGAACTACACAATGAAGTCCACAGCTCTACCCAGCATTCCAGCCTCCTGCTACCCATATACTTCCACGCAGGAGTCTGGTTTGTCCCCCACCTCACAGCACAGCTTCAGAGCTGAGATGTGGCCACAGCATCTAACTCTAGAGTGTAGGCCTTCCCTCTCTTCCCAAGGTTTGCCCCAGCCTTCTCGGGATGGAGGTATTTCCATATCACACATTCTGTGGTCTCTGTGACCTTTCGGGCACATTTACTCCTGGCACGCTGGCCAAATGACAGGACCTTCCTCGGAGACACCCAGGTCAATGCCCAATATCGACAGCACCGGCCTGCCTCCTCTGTCTGCCCCAGCTGCCTGGTCACCTGTCATCAGGCCTCCGCACAGGCAAGGCTCTCCCGCCCTGGCACGGAGGAGGAAGGCTCCCTGCGGGCTTGCAGGGCTGCAGCAGTGGCCTCCCTCACTGGCCTTGCAGGCACCTCCCTGCACTCAGAACCCCTAATGGACTATGAGCTTAGAGGAGCCATCGTGTCCCCGGAGAGCACGAACCCAAGGCCCACTGTCCCCAGCTGTGCTGTCGGGCAGCCCCCTGGAACAGCCCGATCGTGCCCCCTGCCAGTGCCCTGCACAGCCGGCAGCCCGCCTCCTGGGGGGCATTTCAGCACAATGGGCTTGGCGGCCCACAGCTTCCCAGGCGGATGTGATGGCAAATAGCAGGCACTTGGCATATCTTCGGGATTTCTGAGCATAACAGAAATGTCAGGCGGATTTTAATGAAAGGCTGTGTGCTTCTGGGGATTGACAGGCCGACACAGAATCCTAATTTTCAGATGGCTTGTTCTCAGGGCTTTCAGCACCCAGAGTCAGGGCCGAGGGGAGCCCCCAAAGCCCCTGGGGGTCCTAGACCATCACCCGTGTGTAGGATCATCCGCCCTTCAGCCGAGAGGCTCCCTTCCAGAGTCTGGCCCTGGTGCTGAGTCCGGATTTAGAAACCAAATTATTTCTCTTCCTCACCCGCAGCAATTGGACACCTGCCTTTTGCCTACTCTTTGGAGCCGCATGCAGCAGAGGAAGCAGCGTCCCCTCAGCTGACGTCAGGAGGGCGGCAGGGGCACAGCCGGCTGCCCTGGGCAGGTGCTGCGTGGGCAGGTGCCACCGGGGGTGGGGCTGCTGGGCAGGGCAGCCCATGGCGGCTGAGGAAATCACCTTTAAAATGAAATGTTGCTTTCCTGGCCAGCTCCAGGAGGCCAGGGGACCCTGATAAAGGTACTGGGGACCAGGGAAGGGCCAGCCACTCCCTGAATGTGGGGTGAGCAACTGATCTGCACTGAAAGAAGTGCGTGCCCTTTGGTGAGCACAGCTGGGGTGCTTGAGGAGCTCGTCTGGGGCCAGCGTGGCCCCGGGTGCTGAGGAGACAGCTCGCCTAGGGCCAGCGTGGCCCCGGCTGCTGGGGCAGGCTGGAGCCACCTGCAGTCTCCAACAGCGCCTCTCTCCATTAAGGGCACAGGACTCTCTCACTTTGTCAAGCAAAGGCCACCACTTCAAGTCCCCTCCCTCAGAGGACATTGCAGGTTGCCCCTCACCTTCCCACAGGGAAGCCCCCTGTCCCTGCTTTCAGGAGCCCAGAGCTGGCTTGGAGGGACACAGCCCTCCAACAGGTAAACCACTGAGCTAGACAGTGGTCACCACCAGAAGGAAAGAAGAGGAACCTGCGGGAGACAGGGAGCAGGTGATTTACACCAGGGCTCAAAGGGCTTCTGGGGGGGTGGTGAGAGGTGCCCTCCCCCGGCCCCGAGGGTGAGAAGCCTGAGCTCTGCCATCTCCTGGCACTTGGCGAGGACCCCAGGGGTGGGGGACTCTTCCCTGCCTCCAGCCAGTCCCTGGCTCAGACCTCCAGGCCTGGGGGTGGGGGGGCTCCACTTCCCTTACTACACTGGGGACACGAATGGACAGACACCTTCCGTTTGGCAAGCCCAGTCTCTAAAGGAGGCTGAGGGGAAGAGGAGGAGGAAGCAGATCAGACGGCCCCAGGCAGGCAGGGCCTCAGACCCACTGCCTCCAGGCCCTCTCCCAGTGCCTGGCCCTGAAGGCACTCGAATCTGTGACGGCTCAGTCCAATTCCCTGCCCCCCAGGGGGCTGAGCCAAGGTTTGGAGCCGACAGCCAGGAATCCTGCATGTCATTGAGTGAGGAGCCCCTTCTCCCGAGCCAGGGGACAAGCTCCTGGGGACACGGACAGGGAGGCTGGGGGTTGCTGTGCAGCAGCACAACCCCAGGAGGCTTGCTGGGGGCATCGGTGCTGCGGGGCCTCCACAGAGGGTGGGATTTGGAGGGGGCAGTTGGCAAGGTGGCAACCCCAGCACAGGGGTGGCAAGACGGTGTGGAAGGTGGGCGTGGGAAGTCCCCCTGCCTGCTGGGCACGTGTGGGCAGTCCTGGGGGCTGATCACAGGTGCCGCCAAGGTGCAGGACAGGGCCTCTGACAGGAGAAGCGTGTGCCAGTCCTGCTGGGTCACCCACCAAGGGAGCCAAGGGCTGGGACCAGGTCGGGGTGGTGGAGGGACGGAGCCTGTAGGCATTCTGGAGGCAACACACCCATGGTGACCGCAGAGGACAGCTGAATGGGGGTGGCAGAGGGCTGGAACACCGTTTCATGATGACTGAGTGAGCTCCAAGCCTCCCTGATGGCCGGAGGACCCTGCCGCCCCGCACTGACTCCCTCCCAGGCCTCTGCTCTGGGGGGACTCCGGGGTCACCCTCTGCATCCTCTCATCCCAGCCACTCGCCCTTCCTCTCAGTTCCTCGAATGCACTGGGCTTCTTCCCAGGCTGCTCCGCCTGCCAGGACGGCTCTGGGATCCAGTCCTGGCCACTCCCCTGCCCTTCTCTCGGCTCAGACTTGGCTCCTGCAGGAAGCCTCCTAGTAGGGGTCCCTCACTTGTGTAACATCTGCCCTCTACTCCCTCCAGAGGCACCCAGCCAGGGGCTGTGATGGGCCAGTGAGGGAGCACCTCCCGCCGGGCTGCCCACCGCAGGGAGGGGATCTCTGTCGGCGGATCCGCCCCTCCCCCAGATGGAAGGCCTCGCCAGCTTTTGGCCTGGGCCGCCTTGTCCCAGTACACAGCGCCGGAATGAATGAAGCTGGAAGGCATGAGTGAGTGAGCGAGCCCCCTCCAGCCTCTGGCTCCTCCTCCTTTGCCCCCAGGCTGCTGCGGTTCCCCACAAAGGGAGGGGTTCGCAAAGGGCTGGGTTGGGGCGCTCGGGCGTGGGGGCCCCTGAGCGGATAGTTCTGAAACCTGCGCGCTAAACTCCACACACAGCCCCAAAGAGGAGCCGAGATCGATGCGCTGCCCTATTGACAAAACCTCAGCCGTAATGCAGATATTTCTCACATTTTTATTGTGTTCATGTATGTTGATTCACAGCGGTTTTGTCAATAAAAAAAAAAAAACACCGCACAGAATCTCACAGTAAAACTGTCACCAAAAATTATTTATTGCTGTGATAACAGCAAATTATATGTTAGAGGAGATTTGTGGCGGTGGCTCGGACAGAGGCTGGTGGCATCTGGGGCCCAGGCGAGGGTCGCTCTAAAACCTGAGCGAGAAGGCAGGTGCCCCTGCCCACCGTGGCTGGCCACGCCCTCCTCAGCTGGGGCTCAGGGTCGCCCCTACAGGACCAGGGTCGGCGAGCTGAAGGCCTGGGCAGGGTCCACACCCCCAACCCGAGGCAGACGGTGGGGTGCAGGCTCCCGGAAGCGGGAAAGGGAGAGTCTGACGAGGTGAGCCAGGAGGGTGTCCCCTCCAAGGAGGTGAGAGGTGGGCCACCTCGAACATCGGGCGGGTTTCAAATGTGCACTTCCCTGAGAAGGAAGCAGCAGGAGCAAAAGCTTGAAGGCAAATGCCCGCGTGTTCAGGACGTAGGGCAGGATTCGCTTGGCTCCTGTGAACCGAGGGGCACCTGGGCCCGCAGAACCTACTAAGCTCCGGCTCCTCTTCCCAGGCCGCATGTCTAGTCAATCTAGGGAAGCGTTTTTTATGTTTCTTCCTTGGAAAATTTATTTCATGGGCAAAGTATAAATTGTGGAGGTGGCCCAAACTATAAAAGCCAGCTTTTCTTTTAAAATATAAATGCGCCGAGAGGTGCAAAGTGCGGAGGGTGGGGGAGAACTTAGATCATTAGTGGCTCCTGCCCGTCTCCCCGACAATAATTGGTGGGCGGAGCGGCGCGGGCTGGGCGGGAGCGGTGGGCGGCGGTGCCGCGGAGGGTAAACGGCACCAGAGGCAGGGAAATTGGCGGGGAGGGGAAGGGAGGGTGGGGGCGACCTCTCTAGAGCGGCGTTTGCTATTTTGGGCAGTTAACAAGGGGGCAGGGATAATTTTTTTCCCCCTGGAATGTCTGCTTGTGGGTCAGAAATTTATATTTACACCAATTGGTTGAGCAAATGGGAAAGAACGCATTTTTAAAAAGAATTAGTGGAAGATTTCTGCTCCATACTGGCAGCCCTTTGCCTGCACATCTTTCTCTTTATGCGGTTTTGTCTCAGTGATTTGAGCATGTTCTAATTTTGTCATTCAAGCCATCTGACTTTCACTGCTCTATACAAACAAAACCTAATTTAGTCTGAGATGTTTTAAGTCATAACAATGACGGATGGCCAGGGTTCAGGTGTGGTGGAATATTTAAATACCTAGTCTATATTTTTCTGATATAAAGACAGGCAGCTTTTTGTACTCTGATTAATTATGATTTTGCATTTCAGAAAAAAAAATAGCTTTTCCTATTCTACATTATTAATTGGTTATTTAATTAGGAATTCTCCAAGCTTCAGATGTTGGGAAGCTAAATCTGTGAGTGGGTTTAAAAAAAGCCGAGCTCCATCCTGTTGCCTTTTTGTATCTTATGAAGGTCACAATAAGACGTGATTGTTTGGCATAGAGGCAGTGAATTATGCCACCCAGACAAGCTTTTAACCTATGTGCCTTCACTCTGAGTGAGACACACGGGCATGTGCTCTCTTTAAACCGTTCTCTATTGAAGAGGATTCAATCACCATAATGAATCTGAGGCCAGGCAGCAATCTTCCGCACTGAAAGAATTTCTAAAAGATTGTAGAATTTGTAAAACGAACAGCTCGCAGACTAAATGGCTGTGTGGGTGAATCAATTATTGCAAGGCCCCGAGTAGTCATAATATTTAGTACATATCATAGAGTGTTTCAGGTACAATAAGATATGCTCGTTTTTCCCTGTTCCTGCTGGAAGTGGTCCCAGATGCCTGCAAACAACCCCAGCTGAACCCTCTGGCATCCCATGAGAGCGAGGTCAAGCCTACCGCGTCCACATATGCTGGTTCCCAGTATACCCGGGTGCAAGCACCTGCGCGTGGGTGGCAAGGAGGAGGCTGGCTTCTGGAGAGGCAAGGGGGTGGCTAAGGTGGCCCCCATCTCATCAAGCCTGCCTTACTACCCACGAGATGCTAAGTTGCCAGTTCTCTTTTTAAAAGCCTGGTTTTGAACGTTTCCTTATTTTAGTATATGTGCTGCCGAAGCGAGCACGAACGTTTCCTTACTAATACAATAATTATTTTTCCCTGACAGCACCATTTATAACCATCTACTCTGTGTCCAACTAGCCCTGTTTTCATTAATCAATGGACATGGAGACTACTGTCATCACCTCTCTGGATTATGACTTATCAGCCTCCTGCAGCCTCCTTTTGAGTGGACACAAATCAGGTGAAGATGGAGCCTTTTTTGGCTCCTTGTGGGGAAGCTTCTTGCACATAGGCAGGCCTAGGTATTGTCTACAGACCTTCAGAGAAGGACATCCAGGTAATCCTCAACGCACTCAGGAAAGACTGTCCCACCTTGCTTTAAACATTGTGATACAGGCGGTGGACCCCTTGAACACAGTGGGGAAATCTGCATGGGATCCAAGGGGAACTTGAAAACCTCATGGTGTCATCAGGCCAAGAGTCCCAATGGTTGAAATATCACAGCCAGCCTACAACAAGGCTATAGGCGTGTTAAAGGTGGATGTTGCAGGGATTCAGGCTGGGGTAGGGCCCCATGTGAGCCACCCTAGAATGAAGCTGGGGTATCCTCCAGGCCCCTAGGCTTCCACCAACAATGCAATCCTCTCCTCTGTTAGCATGCTACCATAGAACAGATCCACAGCACATGCGCCACAGTTTCTCAAAGCCCCGGAAGTGGCACTGTTCCATATCCCCATAACTTATGCTCTTTGGACAAATCTGTCACTTTGAGGCCCAAGAAGCCACGATGCTGCCTCTAGGGGAGGAAACATGTGTTCTGTGATGATTTTTAGCCCAGCTTTGCCTCTGTGGCTGCATGTTTGTCCCAAACACTCTGACAACATGAGTGGCTCACCATTCTCAGCTGGTTCAAAGAAAGATTCGAAGAAAATTCCTCATATAGTTTTAACTCCATGCAGATCTTTCCTCCAGTGAACTTCACTCTTGGGCACCTTTGCTGATGTAGAACAAAGAGTTAATCTAACTTAAAACGAAGGATGCCAGTAGCTACTGGCTTGAGCTACCAAGACTCAAGCCTGGATCTTGGAAGCGCTTCCCTCCTCCTCCCCACAGGGCCTCTCCTGGCTGAGTGCTTCTCCCTTAACCAGTTCCTCCCTGGATCACCCCCTATACCCATGAGTCTTCTCTAATAAAGAGCATAAGCTATCCTCCCAAATAGGTCCAAAACAAAGCTTCCTCACTAGCTTGTTCAAGCAGCAGAAAGTGGACCAGATCTTCCATTCCTAAAACATCCTCCCAGTTCAGTTCTCAGCTGCCTCACTCTCACAGTCTGCCGAGGGAAACAGGAAATAAACAGAAGCAGCTTGAAGAGTTACATGGCAAAAAGATCCACAGACAGAGAATATCAGGTGCCTCGTAAGAAACCTAACAAAAGGTTTATAACTTACACAGGAAAACTGGGTTAACAGCTGTTAAAGAGGTCTTAACTAAATAGAGGGATATACCATATTCATGGATAGGAAAGTTTAACGGTGTATACACGTCACCCTTCCTCAGATGGGCCTATTGATTTGATTTTATTCCATTCAAAGTTGCAACAGGGATTTTTTAAAAACTTATTAAATGATGTGGAAGAATAAGCCAAGAATAACCAGGATACTTCTGAAGATGAAAAGTAGACAGGAAGGACTTGATCCACCTTATGTCAGCATTTAGTGTGAAGCTATGGTAATTAAGGCAGTGTGGTATTGGTGACAGGAAAAATAAATCCACCTGAGGAATATCCCAGAAACAGAACCTCACACTAAGGTATATGACAGAAGGTATGTCAGGACGCCAAAGAGAAAAGGACCTGTTGAATAGGTCCTTTGTTGAAGTTGAAATAGGTTGAAGTTGAAAAAACTGATTAGTCATCTGGAAAAAGAAGAAGTTATACCTTCCCCTCACACCATGTTGGGAAACCAAGTCCAGAGGGATTAAAGATTTAAATGTTAAAAACAAAACTTTAAACTTCTTAGTAGAAAATATGTCTAAATATCATTTAGACCTTGGGGTAAGTATAGATTTTTCTTAAACATCAATGACTATAAAGAATAATTTGACTATATTAAAATTAAGAATTTTATATTTATCAAAAGACATCTCCATGCAACACACGAAATATAGCCAATATTCTATAATAACTGTAAATGAAGTATAGCCTTTAAAAATTGTGAATCATTATATTGTACACCTGTAACTTATATACTATTGTTTATTAATTATACTTCAATATAAGATGTCTACACATAAATGACAAAAAATTAATACCACAAATGTACTGAACTCAGTATCAATAAGAGGAGCAGAAGCAACCCAATGGAGAAATAGGCAAAGGGTATAAATAGGAATTTCACAGAATAAAGTTAATATTCAACATTAGGAGACAATTCCAAGATGTTTTTCTGAATTGTCTCCTAAAGTTGAATATTAACTTCTGCTCTGAGGTTTATATACTCAAGAGAAAGTCCTGCATGTATATAAAAGGAGACCAATGACAGAATGTTTGCAGCAACACTGCTCACAGTACCACAACCCCAGAAACAACCCAAACACTCATCACAGGAAAGCGGGATCACTAGCTGGTATTTTCACCCAATGGAACACCCTACAGGAACATGACACATGAGTAAATAATGTTATGGTGCAACAATATGCAGCAGTAATTACAAAAACTAAGTCACAAAACATTATATACAGGATGGTACCTTTTGAAAGCTGGAACCAACTAAATAAAAATACATGTCTTTAGGAATACAATACAGACACAATAAAATATATAGAAAACAAAGGAATAAACAGAATTGTGAGAACTGTAGAGGGAGGTGGGAATATGGAGGGAATCATAGATTAATGTCAAATTCTTAGTTTGTGTTTTGGATAGTGGGCTCACGTTACTAAATATATCATTTTAATAATTATACTACATATGGGCCATGCATTGTCCAAGGATAAGCATGTATGAACCAAGATTATGGTTTATGGATTATGATAAATCCATTCTAGGTACTCAGATCAAATTTTGTAAAAATACATATGCTTTGACCCAGAAATTTCTCTTCTAGGAATTCATTTTAAGGAACACAATCAGATACATGTGCAAAGAGCAGTGTACAAACTGTTTCTAATAGCAGAAAACTAGAAAAGACACTAATGTCCAACAAGAGAGGATTGGATGAATCATTATCATGCACTAGAACACTGAAGAAATTTTGAAAAGTTAAGGTGAAATGTGCATACATATGTACACCATGGGGAAAAAACAAAAATGAAATGCAGCAGAAAAACTACAAAAACTACAACTTTGATAGCATGGTAAGATTATAGATGACTTTTTAAACTGAAGTGTAGTTATCTTCATGTTAGTCTATAATTTTAGGTGGTAAATTTAAGAGATAATATCAGTACCACTGCTGGGCATGGAGCTGGAACAAACAAACCTCTTTTTCAGATACTGAAAGAATTATTTCCTGATATGGGCAAGGACAACACTTTTATTATTTTAATTGTTTATACTTTATATATTAAAATTTAAAAACTGTGTTTACTATTGAAACTTGTGGAAGGGAGAGGAAAGTATAAATAAATGACCTAGAATCCCTTTAACACTGACATTCTTCCTTCTACTCTTCCTCATCATTACCATGATGGTTAAATTTATGCATCAGCTTGCAAGGTTGTGGTCAGTTATTGGTCAAACACCAGTCTACATGCTGTTTTGAAGGTATTTTTGACATGATTAACTTTTAAATCAAAATCCAATTAAGCTCCATTATGTGGAAGGGTCTCATCCAATCAGTTGGAAGGTCTTAGAAGACAGAGGAAGAAGAAATTCTGCTTCCAGACACGCCTCAGACTCAAGCTGCAACATCAGTTCTTCCCTGGGCCTCTAGCCTGCTGGCCTGCCCTGCAGACTTTGCCCAGCACCCACAATTGCCTGAGCCAGTTCCTTAAAATAAATCTCTTTCACTCTTGCTCTCAATTTACACACATATGCGTGCATGCACATGTGGGTATACATACATCCTATGGGTTCTGTTTCTCTGGAGACCCCTAATACAATTACCTATATTTACATGTAGATCTTTTTCACAAAATAGAGTATTCATATCCTGTTTTCATACAACACTGAATACATTATGAGCATTAACCAGTGTTATTCTCTAAGTCTTAAAAACCATTTTAATAGTCATATTTTTATTTTATTCTTAGCCAGTTCCTTATTGTTAAAGACACTTGAATTTTCCTAGTATTTCACTATTGTATGAAATGTTGCAACTGGCAGGTTGGAGATATTATCTTTACATCTCTGATTCAACTATTTTTTTTTAAATGTGGTTGAAGAGATGCTGGACTAGAAGGGAGGGGGCCAGGATATTAGAACTGATTTAACTGCTGAGAGGGTTACTTATGTTACTTCCACAGCCTTTCCAGCCACTAATACAACTCCTTAGTTTCAGCCCATTTGTCCCACCCACGTGGAGTGGCTGCCTTGGCCCTGGCTGCCCCACCTTCACCATAACCCTCTTTCCGGCGCTTCCACACCTTCTTCCCTCCCCCATGTCTTCTGTCCCATCACGCGCCCCATCACCTTTCGTTCCCATCTGCTCCCGTGGACACACACTGCCGCCCAGACAGTGAAGGACCACAGCTTCCATTTCTCAGCCCTGTGACTTCTGCGTCGCCAGGCCAGCACATGAACAATGCACACTGACACTTCTTGTACAGACTCCGCAGAGTCCAGGAAGAGGATCTGAGCAGACAAGGGGGATCCAAAATAGCAGGGTCAGAGGCAGGGCTGGGCTTGAGTCCTGAAGCAGGAGCAAGATTTCTGGGTTCTGGACATCTCGGGCATGTTTCCCGAGTGTCACATGAGGTCTCTTCTCTTTCTGGTCTCCAAGGTCACTGCCATCTGCACCCCTTCCCAGGTTCCTGCATCTCCTTCACTTCGTGGCCCCATCCGCACCCAGCCACCCAAGCTGGACGGTGAGGGTGGAGGCTCTCCTGTTCTCTTCTTCCCCACACTGGTCCACCAGCAAGTCCTCCCATCCCGACTACAAAAATGTCTATTAAATTTGTCCCTTTCTCTCCATCTCTGTTGTTGCTGCCAGCCTCTTGAGTGACTTTCCTGGTGTCTTTGTTTCCACGCTTGGCCTCCCAAAATCAGTCCTGAAGGGAGTGGATCCAGCGATTTTTCTTTAAGTGTAATTCAGGTCCAGTCAGTGTCCTGCTCAGGGCCCTCAGGGGCTTCACACGCCCTGAGAGCACTACCCGTAACAGCCAGCATGGCCCTGGTAACTCTCCCAACTCCTGGGGCCTCTGTCAGCCTTGGGTCCCAAACCCCAACCCCACAAACACCCCCAGGCATTCCTACCCATGGCTCACTCTGTTCATCCTTTAGGTCTGGCAGCTGCTGCCCCCTCCAGAGAGGCCTTTCCTAACCCCCAGCTCCACCCAATAATCCTCCAGGCCCATTCTGTGTTTATGTTCTTTGCCTTTCTCACTAGACTCTAAGTTTCATGAAGGCAGTGACCAGAGGTGTCTTGTTTTATTATTCATCTGCAACAGCTACCACGTAATAGAGGCTCAGCAGCTCAGTGAAGACTAAACAAATGAATCTGGGAATCCCAGACTGGAGAAGCAGCAACCTGCACCGCCCCCACGCCCCCCACCCACACAGGGCAGGAAAGCCACATATGAAGGCTCCTGCCTCTTACCTGCTCCCCCTCCTCTAGATGTCTGGGCTTCTTTCTGCCTACAGGAGCCTTCACAAAAGAGAGGAAGAACATCAGGGCATTCATGGCACTGCCCAGCAACTGGAAGATGGCCAGAGCAAATGCATGTTCTGTTTAGAGGAAGTGAATGGCATTAACCCTTTCCAAAAAAGCCTTGGTTTTCCCTAAGTCTGCCCTTTCCTCTCTCCCACAGGACCTAATGAGGTGCATGCAACAGGTGCCATGCCTTCATCCATCATATGGGGCAGGGAGGGAAGGTGAGCTGTACACCCCTGTTTGGGGACCTCTGGGCCCTGGTGGCCAGCCTCGGGCAATGAGGTGGGGGAGGGGTGAAAGGGAGGCGGGGTGATCACCATGCACTGATCTAGATTTCTGAACTTCGATGAACTAGGAGAAAAGGAGGCATGTGGGCAGCCTCTCCATCCATGGAATCTATGCATGCTAACCAGGCAACCCGTACATACATTCCCTTCCTGGCTTATGTCAAATGCAAATATGAAGGAGTTAAGGCTGAAACACTGGGACCTTAGAAAAGACCTATTCTCATCTGAGCCTCCATTGACTTGGAGGTCCTCTGGGTCTGCAGCCCACCAGTCAGCAAAGAGGATGTGATGGAAGAGAAAAAGGCAAGACCACTCAGTCAAGGATATAGAACCAAAGCAAACCTTCAAAGGACAAACAAAGGAAGCTTGTGCTCACTCCACACAGAAAAATGATATGGATTACCTCCCACCAGGCACTTCCACATTTAATACTTCATCTCGACCCCACAGCCTTCGGCATGGTGTTGTCTGGATTTTTGCAGTGAGGACATGGCTCAGAGAAAGAGTGACGTGCCCGAGGATGAATCAACCAGGAAGGGGTGGAGCTTGAGCGTGACACCCAACCCTCTTGCCTCCACATCACAGGGACTATTGATGACCACCAGGATCAGGGTTCTGTAAAAGAGTTTATGTCCATTGAAGGAGCTGGTCGCTGGTCCATGCTTCCAAAACGTGAAGCTCCCCTTAACTGTACTCCAGCCTTCTCTCTGACAACATCCCCCATGGGCATGGAAATGCGATTCCCCCCAAAGAACCTACATCAGACAATCTTTTCTAAGGTAGCTGTCAGTCACCACCTCAGCCTTGCTGTGAAAGGGAAGCTTTTCTTGGGGGATTCTTGCTATGCCTGCACTGTGGGCCTGTGGCATTGGTCCCCTCCACACCGAGACCATGGGCCCTTCACTCCCACACACACACATTACATACGTTTATGTGGAGCTTTGGCGCGCTCTTGACTGCACAGCAGTGCAGCCTGCTGATGAGGTTTGCTGTTGACATTTGAACATTCGCTGGCTTTTGTCAATTCTGGCAGCCTAAGAAATTCTATCTTAAGGGCTGCTCTTTATTAAATTTTCAAGATACAAAACTGTGACTGACAAATAGTCTCCCTTCCCTTTGCAAATGCATGAATAATGGTCAGCAACTCTAAAGTAATTAAAATATGTTCTAAATTTAAACAAAAGTGAAATTGCCAAAGAGTTTACAGGGATTGGGGTAGGCTACATTTGGCCTCAGAAAAACATTTTCCTGGTATCTTCCAACAGTTATCAGCAGATCTTTGGGGGGTGAGAATGAGGGAGAAGGCTCCGCAGGGGAAAAGCAGAGGAAAGAACATTTACATGAGCCTCCTTGTTCTGTTTTGCCAAACTTTGTCTCAGAATCTTCTCTGCAACTCTTTTATGTGCTATTGGTGACATAATTCCTGTTTTTTTTTTTCACCAGCCATTATATATGATAAATAAAACAATGCTCTGAAAACACTGAGATCTCTCATCAATGTCATTGTGAAAAGGGCCCAGATAAATGAGTCCTGGAATCAAAGGCAGATGACATGGCTGACCATGTATCATCTTCTATGTATTGAACGTAGTCTTTGTAAAGATAGAGCGGTAATAAAAAGTGGTATTGTGTGCTCTGAAAGGCTGTGTGGGTCTGTGCATGACTAATCTGTCTTTCTGCATTATTTTATTCAATCTTCTCTGACTTTATGCCTTTGACATTTTTGCTACACTCAGTAAATTTGAGTGAATAGGCAATTTTAAAGAATTTTTATAGGGCTTCAGAGAAGTCATATGCAGACAGTATCTTTGTTCAAATTTAACAGTTTAAATATTTCCTTTGTCTAGGGTGCAGAATAATCTTTAGACAAAAAATATGAAAGAATGTTTTAGCCTTAAGATTTTAATACTGTTTCCTAAAACATTTGAATTATTAAAAAAAAAAAAACAGAAAACAAGCTTATAGTAGTGGCTCAACTTTTCTTATTTTATCATTATTATAAACAGGAGACACCTCTTTCTGCAGATTAAGGTGCTCCTTCTTTCTCCAAAATCCATAGATACAGAAGATGCAATTAAAATGGATTATTTTGAATCCAGAGTTCAAAATAGCCTCGTTTGAGATCACCCACTATTTCTGACTTCGTATTGCAAGGGTACTTGTCTCTAAGGAAATAATGACTTCATAGCATGTCTTTAATTTACTATGTACCTTGTTATCAATTCATTATCTAATCTATAACATTAGTTTAGCTAAGCACTTTAGATAATTCGCAGCACAGAGAGGTATGCAATATGAAATATAAAATTATTTCCTTTGCTTAATTGGGCAGAAGTCCTCATTTAAAGTATACCACACCAAACATTTCAGGAAAATCACTCCCTTCTATTTAGGCTATTCAGAGGAAAACTGGGATTACTTGATAAAACTGTTTGGGCTAGCAGGTGCCAGCCTCATACTTTTGGCTCATGAATACTTTTTAAAAGATTATTAAACTATTTAAAGTAAACCTAAACTTCAGATGACCCCATCCTGGTGGATTCGTATAGCCAACTATATTTTACAGTATCTGTAGTATCAAAAACATACTCCACACATTTCATTTTTATGAATCACTTCATAAGCCCACATCCAACAGGGTGACTGAAGACTTAGGTTTAGTACCTTTGAGGTGCTTTCAAGAAACTGGACTTCAGGATTCCTTTATGTGGGAAGTGGGATACTTCCAACATGCTCTCATGGCCCATTGCAGCTGAGTCCTAAGCCCACATTCTGGAGCAGAAGTTGGGTCAATGGCAGAAGGCGATTTTCCCCAAACAACACAGGGAAAACTAAAGGCATAGAGGTGGTAGCTCTGGCCTCTTGAGGGACCAGGTCAGCACACCCCCCTGCTCAAGGCTTCCATACCTGACCCAAGGATCACCAGCACCCCGCACAGAGGCTTAGGGAGGCAGGCGCTATTTATAGCCCTCGAAGGGGAAGCAGGGGGTCAGTAAACAGTCCCCTCAGGTTCTCCTCAGAAAGCAGGAGCCTCTACGGAGAGTAAGAAGGCCCGGAACCCAGGAGCCTGGCCATGGCTCACATACAACAAATGAAACCATCAGTCACAAGCGGCTCTGAATCGGCCTCAACCCTCCATGCACACAGAGTGGCAGACAGCTTTCATCTCACTGAAAACACAAGGTAATAAATACACAAGTGAGGTCCCCAGCGCTTTTGTAATCATCTAGCAGAGAATGAGATCTGGATGCATCATGTCTGGGTTTGTGACTTCTGCCTTGTAAATGGATAAACATTTCACATCTCCATGAAAGACTGAAACACGAATCCCCTATCTTTTTTCATAGCAGACACAAACAAATACTACTTTTTATCACTGCAAAGCACTTGATGTAAGTTCATTAAAATGAAAGATTTTAGAGAGCCCCCAAATGTAGGATATGATTCATGTAGAGATCCCGGATAACAGATGTGGTTTCCATTATTTTCCTACCACAAAAAGGACTAATCCTGCTTCTGCAGGAAGAATGTGTTACCTTCCTCTTTATGAACCATTTTCATAAAACTGAATAAACAACACATCCATGATTAGCTATGACAGATCCCCATTGATTTGACTCAAATCCTAAGGAAAGGTCTCGTTTCAGGTCTGTTTCTGTACATTTTTATTAAGTAATAAAACTTAAAAATGAAATTACCCACTACCTCCAAAATAAATAGAAAATAAAATGTTCTACAACTTACAGAGATCTTACCAATGTTATCAAGCAGCTTGTGGAATTGGCATTTTTAGAGCAAGCTCTGTTACTTAAAAGTGGAACAGTGGAGGAGAGGCCCTCTTGCCGGTCTGCTTTTCCAGCCCAGCCTGAGTTCTCTATGCTTGAGGGCACCTTATGATGCTGTAACTAACCTCAAACCTGGAGCGGCAGGGGGGCAACAAACCTCAGAATACAGCAATGTCATGCTTTACAGACACTCTCTCAGCAACAGCATGAATGAGGGGGGAAATTGGTTGCCTAGGAAACCCTCTAGTCCTGGTAATTATTACTGTAACTGACTGCACACCCCACCTATAACAGAAATGAATAATAATTTATAACCACTGACTGGCAGCTTTCTGTCGGTGCCTCTGCTCACCACTGCTACCTACTGGCGTGCAAAATTAGTTACATGCAAACAGTGGGGTTTGCCAGAGAGAAAAACCACCAGCAAAAAGGACATTTAGAGAAATCCCCCATCTTCTTCCACCAGGTTCTGAATATAGTTCAAGCAAATTGCTGCTCGATCAATAGAGCAAAAATGAAAAGTGCTTTGTGTTCGTGTATACAATGGGGGTTGAACAATCTAATGGAAACTGGTCATCTCAATTAAAAGCAATTTCATATTGTGACATGAACTAGACCAAAAAAAGGTACTTAATAAGGTTAACAGAGGCTAAATAATAGCATATATCTTAATAACCTCAAATACATGACTCACAAGCTATTTAACAGTATAGAATTTGATACTAAGCAGAATTGCTATAAACAAAACCCTATCTGGGGGCTTTGACCAACTAAACTACATAATTAACAAAGACGGCCCATTTATCTCAGGTTGTCGAATTTGCAGTGCAGTGTTAAAGTGCCTCTACTGGAAGACTAGTTTGTTTAGAAATTAGAACATTCTCAGTGATTTACTGGATCTGATTTAAAAGACACAGCAGGAGTTGGCAAAATTCACATATCATGGGGTTAATGTGGGTTAGAATGTAGCTATTTGTAATACAAAAATATTGCATACCAAATACACACATCTGATTTCTTTTAATCCTAGTTCATCTTTTTGCCCAAGTCGTTACTTTGCAAAAATGAACAACAAAAACAGCTGCATTCACCACTATTAGGATACAGAAATCTGCCATTTTCAATTTCCAAAGCAAGAGTATGCTGCATGGGTAATGAGTCAAGTACTAGTTCCTGAGATGATGTAACTGACTGACAGCCTCTCCAACCCCAGTCCAATCCAGGAGGATGGGTATTCCCACTGCAGGCAGCCAGTTCCAGCCTGTGGCTACCATATGTTCAGGCTCCACGAGTCACAAACTCTGTCTGGTCAGCAGAAAGGACAAATAGCCCCAAAGGTTGCTAAGGCTAGGTTAAACATCACAAAGATGTAGGGCATGAAGAATAACAATAGTGAAACACTCAGCCTTTCAGTGGTATCATCCAGGCTCAACCCCCAGAACTCTCAAATCTTTCAATATTCCTGGGATTCATGTCAACTGTCATGAGGGAATGTTACCTAATACATCTAATATTAAACACCATGGAATTTTCCACCCCAGACCCTAATTAGCTGATTACACTGTAACATAAAAAGTAATTTTCAGAAGTATTTTACAGTTTTAAAATCAACAGATTTGCTTTTTGAGTTTTCTTCCCTTTAATCAATTCTAGGTAGAATTATTGACTACTTATCTCTCTGCTTTTCAGAAATCAACAAATTTCAAAAAATTTATTTCTAATTTTTCAGATTCTTGCATAGTTGTAACACTGACACAGTCACTGAGTTAGTCTCTTATTAAAAGACTCACTAGAGATCACAATTGGAATATGCAACAACTACATACAAGTCTTAATTATGAAGAAGACACCAGACCCACATCCCAAAACACATTAAAGTTCTGATAAGCATCTGCAAACTTCACTTTTCTGAAGAGGGTCTGAGTGTTTTTCCTTGGCTACACCTCAATTATCTCCTAACAAGTGCTCCTTGAAAGATTTCCAGTAACTGCAGAAAATTAAACTCACTCTTTTAGCCTTTGTGACCACAGGTGGATCTAGCCTAAACACTGTTTTTTATATCTTAGAATATCAAAGTCTGCTCTAATGCACAAAAACTTTGATTTCATTATAATTTTCACCAAATTATACCATTCCCCTCTTGTAAACAGGATCATCACCAAATCATCACTGATATTCCACTCTTAGCTTTAATTCAGCTTCCAAGACCCCAAATGTGCACTGGCAAAAAAATCTTGGATCCCCCCGAAATAGTCTTCAAAAATAATGTTTACTCATTAATAGACTCATATAACTTGAATACAGTATAAATAAAACCCGATCTTGGTTCCAATTTTTCTAGCTTTATCCCCAATAAGAATACTAGGATTCTTTTCATCCTGTAGAGCTACTGATTTCTATCCTACCTAAAGTACTTCTTCTAACATGAAGAGATCAAGCCAGTCAATCCTAAAGGAAATCAACCTGAATATTCACTGGAAGGGCTGATGCTGAAGCTTCAATATTTTTGCCACCTGATGCAAAGAGCTAATTGGAAAAGACCCTGATGCTGGGAAAGACTGAGGGCAGAAGGGGTCAACAGAGAATGAGTCGGTTGGATGGCATCACCAACTCAAAGGACATGAGTTTGAGTAAACTCCAGAAGATAGTGATGGACAGGGAAGTCTGTTGTGCTACAGTCCATGGGGTCGCAAAGAGTTGGTCACGACTTAGCGAATGAACAATAACAACATTAAGTAGCTGTCATTTCTCTTACCCTAAAGAGGACAGATGACTCTGAGTTTGAACCCTCACTGCACATCTCTGAGGCACTTCTGGTATTCTCTTTGATGCACACAACTTGACCTGCCTTCCAAAACAAGATAAACCACTTGAAGGCAATATATGGCCTTCTTTACAGCATCGAACAACATTTCGCACAGAGAAAATACTCAAAAACACTATAGACAATATACTATCAGCCTTCCTCCTATAAAATGTCTAGAAATGCTAGATAAAATGGCAAATATCTTCTCAAATATAGACCCTACCTAGTATGCAAGAAAGGAAACAGAAAGCTAAAACCATTAGCATCAGGTTGGCACTGTCCTGGACAGGGGTTTATATTTTGAAAGCTCAGGAAATAGGAAGCAAGTCTTTGGGGTCAATGAAAGAAAAGAAAGAAAATGAAGTCACTCAGTCATGTCCGACTCTTTGCGACCCCATGGACTGTAGCCCACCAGGCTCCTCCGTCCATTGAATTTTCCAGGCAAGGGTACTGGAGTGGACTGCCATTTCCCTTCTCCAGGGGATCTTCCTGACCCAGGGATTGAACCCTGATCTCCTGCATTGCAGGCAGATGCTTTACCATCTGAGCCACCAGGGAAAGGAGTGTTAAACTGCAACTGGCCATGAAGAGTTGCAACCAGAGTGAAAGGTGAAAGGACAGGCCAAGATATATTTTCCCACTATCAAAATAAAACAATAAGAAAACTTGTTTTTATCTGCTCAAGTTCTAAGTGGAGTGAATTGGCATGGAGTGTCCCCTGGGAATGTATAAACCATAAGCTAGCCCTTGCAAGGGTGGTGATCTGTGAAAATGCAAGCAGTGAGATTAACTGAGGCATTCCAGTCAATGAACTTAACATAAAAAGGTCCTGCCAATGACTTAAGACCAGTACGTAACTTGCCCTTCTACCATAAACAGCTGAAAAACTGCACAAAATACATGACACAAGTGTTTTTAGACAGTAGGAATAAAGAGAAACAAACGAGGCGGGTCCTAGCATCAGCATAGCTCGATCTCTTTGACTTACAACAGGAGTCCAAGCAGAACAAGACTGGTCTTATTGTGGAGAAGCCAACCAAGAACAACTTAGTGAAGTGCTCAAAATGAAGTTATGTGAAGAGAAAGGCACCTCACCTTTATGATATTCTTTCTCAAACTTACAACCCCATGCTAATCATAAGAAAACACTGGACAAACCCAAATGTGGGACAGCCTATAAAATTAGCTGGCCAATATTTTTCAAAAGCATCATGGTCATGAAAATCAAGAAACTGAGAAACTGTCACAAACAGGATGAGACTAAAAGACATGACCACTAAATACGATATCAAAGTCAAAAGTCAAAGTGTTAGTCACTCAGTCGTGTCTGACTCTTTGTGATCCCATGGACTGTAGTCCACCAGGCTTCTCTGTCAATGGGATTTCCCAAGGAAGAATACTGGAGTGGGTTGCCATTCCCTTCTCCAGAGGATCTTCCCGACCCAGGGATCAAACCCAGGTCTCCCACATTGCAGGTAGTATCCTAGGGTGGATGCTGGCGGGGGCTGGGGTTGGTGCGTGGCGGGGAGGGGGGAATGACACTGGTGGAAGAACAGATGAAATACAAATAAAGTCTGTAGTTAATAGTATTGTGTTGTACTTCTCAGTTTTGACAAATATACCTCCTGCCAATGCAAGGGACACAGTTTAAATCCCTGGTCTGAGAAGACTCCACGTGCTACGGAGCAACTAAGCCCAAGTGCCATATTACTGAGCCAATGCTCTGGAGCCCATGAGCTGCAGCTATTAATACTAAAGCCCGCACACTCCAGGGCCTGTGCTCCACAACAAAAAGAAGCCACTACAATGATAAGCCCACTCACCACAAAGAAGAGTAGACCCCACTTGCTGCAACTAGAGAAAGCCAGCGTGCAGCAATGAAGACCCAGTGTAGCCAAAAATAAGTTGTTGTTTTTAAAACATTGACAGAAATTGGTCTCTCACACCAGTTCTAAAATAATTGCTAATAAGAAGTTCTACAGACTGGAGGAAAATAAAATCAGACAGAAACTTGAACATACTGAAGGTAATGAAGAGCACCAGAAATTGTAAATTCATGAGGAGACATTAAAGAGTTTTACATGTTTTAAAAAAATTCTTTAACAAATAACTGAATAACTGATAAGAATAGCAAAGTGAATAACTTTGCTAACACATTCCCCAAAAAGACAAGACATAACTGGACAACATGGTCAAAAACAACTATTTCAGTACTCTGAAAATTGACCAAGGGCATAAAACAAATGAGAAGTTTGTATTTAAGAAAACTATTGCACCCTGGGGTAAGAATGATAGCAGTGTAACAT